AAAAATATATTTTTCTGTTACATAAACAAATGCCTTGTTTTTCAGTCAAATCAGAAGTTCAGAGCTTTTGCAGCACCATCTAGTGAGACTAATGAGGTTTCATTCAACTTTTCAGAAACTCCAGCTTGTTCCCTCTTTACATTTGCATTTCTTTTTAATCATGATCTCCTTATAGTCTATTGGCTAAAAGTCTTTGGGCCAACAAGCCGTTGAAGAAGGTGACTTTGCTGCACACAATAGTCCTTTTTATATTTCTTTCTGAACCACATGAAATCCCACAGCTTTGCAAACTGCTGAGCTGAAAAAATGCAGAACTTTCATCAAGCCTTGTTATTAATGAATTGCCTCCTAGCAAGTGAGCTGTGCCTCTGATCTGTACCTTGTTTTGAAAGAATACACTCTGCAAGCAAGGAACAGATGTGTATTTTATTGGATATGAAGGATGTTCTCAGATGTAGGCATACCTGTCATCATTCCTACCAGGAAGTGTTGCAGATGATATTTTCTGTAAGACAACATCTATACACTCAGCTCTGTGCCAGACACTTGCAAGACTGTATGCAAAATATCCTTCCTGGCCCAAAGATGTTGCTGGCAAACAAAGCTCAGTCTGTTTCCAAGCCAGTTAAGATGACGCTCATCTTTTCCTAAGCTGCCCTGTCTCTTAAAAGTTTCCCTGTACCTAATTAGGATTAAAACTACTTTGTTTTCTTCATCTACTCATCCCTGGTTAAAAAATCCTGGCATACTTTCACCCAACTGAGCAAATGTGTGGAATCAGAAGAATTTCAAAAAAGATTTCCCATACCATCTCTTAAAATAATGGTTTTGCCCAACAAGAAAATAAATCTCCCCTTTCAGAACTTTCTGAATTCTTTCATGTCACCTAGAGCTGTACATCACTGACACCAAAAACAAGAGAGACTTCCAAATGAAAACAACTCACCTGCTTCTAACAGCACGTAAGCACATACTGGCAAGCTATGTGATTGTTGGAAAAGATGATCCCACTGTAAGAAGACAGAAACAAAATTACATCATTCACTATATAAAAGCTACGATGTTATTTTATGTTCTTATCCATATCTGCTACTAAACCAGTCATAAAACTACACGGTCTTTCCTCTCTTATCTGAAGCTGAAGGAGTTTGTCCTCCACTTACACAATGGCATCCTCTCCTCCAACAGGATTTCTTCAGGCAGCTGATAGAGGCAGGCTGCCTGCACGTGCTTCCATAGGTTTCTGTCTTCTGCACTCTGTGTACCAGAGTGTATCTCCTATTGTCATAAATGTCACTGCTGTTGCATCTCCATTGCTGAACTGCTGCAAGCTGGAGCACAAAGCATCACTGGTTTATCTTTAAGTAACTCTTAATTATCCTTTATTTTCCTTTATAACTTCTTTTATAGAATTTCTCTTGGATAACTGCTTTGCGTAAGGATAATTCATTTCATGAAGTGCAAGGGGAAGAGAAGATTCAAAGACACTGCTCAAAGGAGACAGTTTGTATTGTCATTCAGACAGCCTCTTAGCTAACAGCATGGGTAGACCCAGAGAATCTTGTCTCTCATCTCCCAAGGGATGAATCCAAAACAGCTTGGTTACAACTCTGAAAAAAACCTGCCAGAAATACCTGTTATAAAGATTGTAGGCTTAGTCTCAAACCTGAAATTTAACTACAAAAAAATTCTCAGAGTGACTTAAGACATGGCCTGACATCATCTCTGGGAAAATCATCTACCAATACGCAAAAATTATTCTTTTTACTCTAGAACATAAAGTCCTGCTTTCTTACAATATTACATTCTTGCCTATAAACCTCTTATTTTTATGATCATTATTAGATCATATTTTCTGAAAAAATGACTTTTTGGAAATGGTTCTACAGGATCTAGAACATGTTGATAAATATCAGTTAAAATGCCTTAGAGATTTTATATGCAATCAGTGAGTATATTAATTGCTGCCACCCAGTGGGCTCATTTGTAGGCTTTGGCTCACCATACTATAATTTAATACATCATTGTTTGGTTAAATGATTTCATCCTCTCCATCTGAAGGAGTGTGATTTATTTTCCTCTATCAGCAGCCACTAAAAATGAATGTTTCAAGCTACAAGCTGTGGTTAACTTAAAACATATTGTCCTACAAAAACCTTTTCTTCATATTTGTAGTGTGGGAACAGCCCCATGGAAGGCAACATATGCATGAGCTTGAAGTTAACTGTATGTGAGATCACCTGCTTTGCCTTCTGGACCTACCTGCAAAGTCCAAGGCAAATACTTTGCTCTTTTTAAATGATAAATATTCTATCAGAACTAGGATGTTGTTAAACGTGTTACACAGGGGGACTCTTTCCTGAAAAGTGCTGATATTTCTGACCTTCATGTAACTTGCACTGGGATACTCACGCACTTGTAGTTATGCACTTGACAGAAGATAAGCCATGCAAGCAGTTTGCAGTTTGTCTTGCTTACCTGTGGAAGTCACAGGAATTCAGCACACCTCAGGAGCCGGCCTGTATAACACTGAAGTGAATAAATTGTCTCTTAAAACTGTGCTGCTGTGTGAACAGCTTCTACAATCTATACAAGTGTTATGAATAATGAAATAAGACACTGGCAATGACAACAAGTTATTGAAGAGCTGTTAAGTGCTGCATTATGATTTCATTTTAATGCTGCTCCTGGATGAGAGAGCTTGCATGCCTGTGCATGAGGAGGAGGAAGGAGAGAAAGGAAGCTGCTTAATATTCTTCTTGTTGACCTATATTTTTAATTTAGCTACCTGTTTAATTTAGAGCATGTTATTTCCAGGAGGACTGGCCATTTGGGGGAGTATTATGCTGCCCTTAATTTTTGTGCACTCAGAGGTCTTGTTGGGCTAGACAGCGGTACAACTAGATGCCAACAGTAAAGAAAAAGAGAAAACAATCCTTCTACATATTCCTGGGTTACTGTTGTGGTTTAGCCCCAGCCAGCACCTAAGCACCACGTAGCCGCTCGCTCACTCCCCCTACCCCGGTGGGATGGGGGAGAGAATCGGAGGAGTAAGAGTGAGAAACACTCCTGGGTTGAGATAAGAACAGTTTAATAATTGAAATAAAGTAAAAAAGTAATGATATTAGTAACAATATAATAATGATAATAACAATAATAATATACAAAGCAAGTGATGCACAATGCAATTGCTCACCACCCGCCAACCGATACCCAGACAGTCCCCGAGCAGCGATCGCTGCTCCCCGGCCAACCCCCCCCAGTTTCTATACTGAGCATGACGCCATATGGTATGGAATAGCCCTTTGGCCAGTTTGGGTCAACTATTCTGGCTGTGCCCCCTCCCAGTTTCTTGTGCACCTGGCAGAGCATGGGGAGCTGAAAAGTCCTTGATTAGCATAAGCAGTACTCAGCAACAACTAAAACATGAGTGTGTTATCAACATTCTTCTCCTACTAAATCCAAAACACAGCACTATGCCTGCTACTAGGAAGAAAATTAACTCTATCCCAGCCGAAACCAGGACAGTTACCCAGACCTAGTCTCTAATCCTGCAAACCAAGGCTGTCCACAACTGTCATTGACACAGGTGAGGTGGTAAAATGCAGGAGAGGGCAGGTATAAGAACGGGCATAGTCTTGGCTCAAACCCAAAAAAGACTATAGCTGGGCATAAATTATCTTCCAACCTTACCCTAAGATAAGAAGAAAGTTGGGAAAGAAATGCACTCCAAGTCCAGCACCTGGGGAGGTACAGGACTTGCACCTATGCATCAACCCTCCAATCAGGGCTTCTGTGCCAAAAGCCACTGACCCTTTTACTGACCTTAGTGGGAGTACTGCAAAATAAGGTAACGCTCTGCAGGAATAAAGGTGAAAGAATTTGGCCTCATTGCTTTATAAAAGTTAAATAAATCTGCTTCAAGAAATCCAAAGTATCTGGAAGTTGAAGTGGAGGAAGATATTACATCCTTATATGATATTGCTCATTGCACAGTATGGGCACAGATGCAGGGAAAAAGATTTATTCCAGCAATGACAGTGGAACCACTTCTGTAACCAAAGACACTGGGGAATGAAATCACCTTTATTGCTCATCAATGGCAAAAAAAAACCCTTTTGCTTCCTGCTTATAAAGCTGTTCACCTTTGATGCTACAGCAAATGACCAATAAATCACATGGTAAATGCAATTTCCTCCTACATCTTTAATATTTCTTCATTCCCTGCATAAGCCTCAGCTGAAGGAAAAAAACAAAAACTCTCCAGAGCTTACCAGTTGGAAGTGTTACAATATTGATTTCACAGAAGGTCACAGATCCAGTTTGTGGTTTTTTCATCTACTCCCCAAACAAGATATAGGACCAAAGAAGCACATGCTGGGAATCTGACACCAGACAAGAAATATCAGAGACTGGTAAAACTGAAGCAAAACAGAAGGGATTCAAAGCTTCCTACAACACAGGGAGAAGCAAAAAAGACATACTAAGAAATTGTTGAGGACTTCATAGTTACTTCTCCATCATGCTCAGAATGAATCCTCTATTCAGCTGCATTCCAGACTGTTGGCCTCAAAACTGTTTATTGATCTGACCATTTAAATTTCCTTATATCATGACAGACTAATTTTAACAAATAATGCTAAGCCTCAGTTAGAAGCAGACCTCTTTCTTTCAAGACAAAATGTGAAAGGTAACAGTTGTGCATACTGGGGGAAATAGTTGGAGACTTCGTTTGTATCCAGGGCAAAAAAAGTAAGAACATTGGTAATCTAACTTAAGTCTTCACATTCACAAATATTTCTCATGCAGTAAAGTGAAATAGAGTTCTAGTATCTGAGTTCTTTTCTTCTTCCAACCTCAAACAAGGCAAAAATATTTAAAAAATGAGGAAGATACAGACCTCTCAACTTACCTGTTGGCACTTGAATTGGTTTCTATAACTGTCAGGTGTCTCTGCTTGCCAAAAGGATGAAAAAAGTCATCTGCTGTTTTGATAATAGCATTCTCTATTTCTTTTTTTTTTTTCCACAGCTCCATTCAACCCTCCCAATGCCGCAGACAGTATGGTCAAATTTGATGCCTATGGAGATGGGATAGGACGATACAACGTGTTCAATTTCCAGTACACTGGAGGCAGATATTCCTATGTGAAGGTTGGTCACTGGGCGGAAACCTTGTCACTTGAGGTAGACACTATCCACTGGTCCAGGAGCTCTGTCCCCGTCTCCCAGTGCAGTGACCCCTGTGCTCCTAACGAGATGAAGAATATGCAACCAGGAGATGTCTGCTGTTGGATTTGTATTCCCTGTGAAACCTATGAGTACCTGGCTGATGAATTTACCTGTGTGGACTGTGGGCCTGGAAAATGGCCCACGGCTGACCTGACTGGCTGTTATGACCTACCAGAAGACTACATCAAGTGGGAAGACGCTTGGGCAATAGGTCCTGTTACCATTGCATGCCTGGGCTTTATTTGTACTTTTATGGTCATTGCAGTGTTCATCAAGCACAACAATACCCCCCTGGTCAAAGCCTCTGGCCGTGAACTGTGCTACATATTGCTCTTTGGGGTCTTCCTGTCTTACAGCATGACTTTCTTCTTCATAGCCAAGCCTTCTCCAGCTATCTGCACCCTGCGTCGTTTGGGGCTAGGAAGTTCCTTTGCTGTCTGCTACTCTGCCCTTCTGACAAAAACAAACTGCATAGCCAGAATATTTGATGGTGTAAAGAATGGTGCTCAAAGGCCTAAGTTCATCAGCCCCAGCTCTCAGGTTTTCATCTGCCTGAGCCTCATTTTGGTGCAGATTGTGGTGGTGTCCGTGTGGCTTATCTTGGAGGCCCCCGGCACCAGGCGGTACACTCTTCCTGAGAAGAGAGAGACTGTCATACTGAAATGCAATGTCAAAGATTCCAGTATGTTAATCTCCTTAACATATGATGTAATCCTCGTAGTCTTATGCACTGTATATGCCTTCAAAACAAGAAAATGTCCAGAGAACTTCAACGAAGCCAAGTTTATCGGTTTCACAATGTACACAACGTGCATCATTTGGCTGGCCTTTCTCCCCATATTTTATGTGACATCCAGTGACTACAGAGTAAGTCTTTGGATATCTGTTTCCATAAATCATGTGCATCACTTTAAAGGACCCTGTCGCCATTCACTAAAAGCTTCTAACATTTCTTTTGTCCTCCGGATCCCTTGCAAACAAGCTCCATTTCAATGTTAATGTCCACCTAAGCATATTACCAAATTTTAGCTTATTTCTAAGAAAGATGGTCTCATTTCAAACTGAACATGTACAGTTAGAGGTGAAGGGGATTAGTACTATCAGTCTGATTGTGATAGAGGCATAGCGTATGGATAGAGGCATAGCGTATGGATTAAGTATTCATACTGGTACATCAGTATGTGAAGTCATAGTCCTAACAGAAAAACCTAATAGAACATGAGCTAGAATGAGTCATATTGAGTTATCTGGTAGAAGTGGGCCTTAAATTAAAAATTGAACTAACTAGTCTCCTTCTGCAAAAGGATCTACCATTCAAAACCAGTATTTTCTTCCAAATAAAACAGATAAGGAAAGAATTTCAAAATTTCCTATGAAACAGATTTGTTTTAAAAAAAGAATTCCAACAAATGTTATGCTTAAATATAGAACTTTTTACTCTTTCTCCACTTTGTAGGGGATAAAACACACACCTAACTGAGCAGAAAATATTGGTCAGCCTGCACCAACAAACTTAAAAAACATTAAATTGTTTAAATTGTCACATAGTGTTGCAAAGCTTCAAGTTCAATAAAATCATATTTTTGGACAGAAGGAAGTTGTCTCAGAAAAAGATTCAGATCTGCTCCACTGGAAATCTCACAGTTTGCATGATGTGAGAAGTGACTGCTGGAGTTGGCCCTTACAGCTGTTTGCAGTGAATTAATTCAATTTTCTGCCCAGAAGAAAGGTGGCAGACTAACTTAGGGTAGTATTATAACCAGTAGTATGTACACAAAATAGCGTGTAAAACTATGGTGCTAACAATGTCATTTAACATACTTTTGGTGTGACCACCCTGGAACAGTATGTTCAGTACTATTTTTCTCAGCTTAGGAAAGATACCGAAAACCTCCAGAAAACAAGGATATATAACAAACGATGCAGTAAGACACACAGAGTGACAGTAAAAGAGCTAAATATATTTAGTCTAGACAAGAGTAAACCCAGGGAGATGTGATCACAGACTATAAATAATTTCAAGGCAACAAAAAGAGAGAAAGGGATTATTCAGTCTCAGGAGAAGTTAGAATGGCGAGTAATGGATTGAAGCTAATGAAGGAAAAGTTTAAGGAAGGCACTGGGGAACAGCTCCGGACACCCAAAGTAATCAGGAAGATAGACACAGAAGGAGGGTAATATCAGTGCAGACAGTCACATGAGTGGGCAGCACAGACACTAATTGTCAAGAGGAGCATGACTTGATTGCTCAAGCAGCATTTTTCAGCCTTATCTCCTGAGTGGGATTTTCAAAACCACCCACAGGCATTTAATGTAAATACAAGATTCCAAATAAGCCACTACTTGGGTCCTACCAAATTGACAGAAAATGCTTTTAACACCTTTTTTGATACTTTCATGAGATGGCAGGAGCTTTTTGAAAATGCCATCCTAGATGTCTACACTTCTGGGGTTCCTTGGAAAAGACTGTATTTAATCTCCATGCAGTGTTACATGTTGACTCTGAATCAACCTGTGCCATCCTAATGTAAACCAATACTGGTGGCATCACCAATAAACAGCTTTAGAGACATAATAGTAGCAATGAAAAACAAAAAAAAATGTTGACTGGCTTGAGATTTTATCATTAAGCACAAACATCACTTAGGGCTCACCCTTCCTAAAGAAAAGGGACAGTTCCTGGAAATTTATCCAGAGTCTTGGTGTTGGCCTCACTGTAGTAGTTAAAGAAACAAAAAATAGTAGTTCCACATAGTATATACATCCCTACCAATACTGAAGCAGAAATGTCCCTGTACAAACCCCACATGACAGGTGCCAGACAGCATGTTAGATATGCTGGGATGGCATATTACTGTATGTCTTACAGATTCACCCACCAAATAACCCCACTATTTGGTTAAGGCCTTCTCTGCTGTGAGAAGGGTTTATGGTATAGCTATGCCTCCAATACATACATGCCTTTTTTCTGTTAGACTAAGCTTGCTTATATTGGCATAACCACTCTCTTCTCCCTGAGTTGAATAAATTTTAACAGCAAAAGGAATTCTGGGTGACAGGTTTACAGTAGAGCTCTTGGTGATTCAGTCATGACATCAGCTGCAGGATTTTTCCACACACGTCTTCACATAATCACCAAGGTTGGAAGGGACCTCTGGGGATTGTCTTGTTCAACCTCCCCTGCTCAAAGCAGGGTCACCTACAGCAGGTCACTCAGGGCTATGTCCAGGTTTTGAATATCTCCAAGGATGGAGACTCCACAACATCTTTGGGCAACTTGAACCAGTGTTTGACCATCTTCATAGTTTTCTTATGTTTAAACAGAATGTCCTGTACTTTGGTTGTGCCCATGGCCTCTTGTCCTGTCACTGGGCACCACTAGGAAGAGTCTGGCTCCTTTTTCTTTTCTCCCCCCATGAGGTACTTATATGCACTGATAAGATCCTCCTGAGCCTTCACTTATCCAGGCTGAACAGTCCCAGCTCTCTCAACCTCACATGACAGTTGTTCTAGTCCCATAATCATCTCCATGACCCTTTGCTGCACTTCCTCCAGTATGTTCATGTCTCTCTTGTACTGGTGCCAGAGCTGGGCACAGCACCCCACATGTGTCTCACCAGTGCTGAGCAGAGGGGAAGGATCACTGTCCTTGACCTGCTGGCAATGCTCTGCATAATGCAGCCTAGGAGGCCATTGACCTTCTTAGCTGCAAGGGCACACTGCTGGCTCATGATCTATTTGTTGTCCCACCAGGACTTTCAGGATCTTCTGACAAAGCTGTGTTCCAGCTGGGTGGCCTCCAGCATGTACTGGTGCCTGGGGTTGTTCCTCCCAAGGTGCAGGACTCTGCTTTTACCTTTGTTGAACTTCATGAGGTTCCTATCATCCCATTTCTTCAGCTTGTTGAGGTACCTCTGGATGGCAGTGTATCAATGACTCCTCCCAAGTCTGTATCATCTTCAAACTTATTGAGGGTTCACTCAGTCCCAGCATCCAGGTTGTTAATGAAGGTAATAAACTACGTTGGTCCTAATATCAACCCCTGGAACAACTAATGACTGGCCTCTGGCTGGATTTTGTGCTGCTGATCTCAATCCTTTCAGCCCAGCAGTTCAGCCGGTTTTCAGTCCACCTTACTGTCCACTTATCTAGCCTGTACTTCATCAGATTGTCAATGAAGATCTTATAGGAGACAGCATTGAAAGCCATACTAAAGGCAAAATAAATAATATCAACTACTCTCTCATCATCCACCAAGCCAGCCATTTCACTGTAGAAGTCTACCAGGTTGGTTAAGCATAATTTCCCCTGTGTAAATCCATACTGACTAGTGGCAGTCATTGTTCATCCATGCAAGCCTCCTGCCACATTTACTTGATTTCCTGCCCATTGGGATGCACCATTCTTAAGCTTGGATGAGGTGATTCTTGAAAAAACAGCCAGGCCTCCTGGACCTCTCTTCTCTCCGGGGCCGTATCCATGGTATTCTTCCAAGAAGATGCCTGAACAGGTCAACCTGCTCTGCAGGGTTGCAATCCTACTTTTTGCCTTGGTTCCTCCTCTCAGGATCCTGAATTCCACCATTTGCTGGCTGTGGCAGCCAAACGTTTCCCTGCCTGTCACATTCCTGCCAAGTTCTTGCTTGTCTGTAAGTATGAGATCATGTGGAGCGTCTTCATCTGTTCCTCAATAACCTGTTTTAGGAAGTTGACCTCAGTGGTCCAAAAACCTCCTGCATTGCCTCTGCCCTGCTGTGTTGTCCCTCCAGTGGGTATCACGGTGGTTGAACTGCCCCAAGAAGACCAGGGCCTGCAAATGTGAGACTTCTTCCAGTTGTCTGAAAAATGCCTCTTCTACTTCTTCCTGATTACGTGGTCTGTAGCAGACACCCTCCACAATGTTGTGCACCTTGGTCTGGCCACTAATCCTGACCCATAATCTATCAGCTGGCTCAAGACCCATCACTGGGCAGAGCTCCATTCACTGCCCCTGCCCTCTCACACAGAGTACGACTCTCTCTCCTCGCCCTGCTACCAGGGTACTGACCTATTCTCTATTTGCAGATCTGTAAGTAGAGCAGAAGCCATCTGCCTACTGCCACAAGTCACAGACTTCCAGCCTTCATCATCATGGGATTCTCCCTTTCCCAACTCAACAAACATTGGCTTACTAGTTTTTATCTAGTACAGGCCAGGCTCTTGTACCTGCAGAGTGTCAGAGAAGATCCAGTCCTCCTTTTTATCATCATGTCTGATGCTGCAAAGTCTGCTGACCTCCTCCCGTAGCTCCTTTACAACAGAAATCCTCCACATCTGCAGAAAAGGAGAACAAGTCCCTCAGCCCCCCATGAGAGGCCTCAGGCATCCCTGCAGCCCCAAAGCTCCAGACCTGCATCCTCCCTCGGGAGCTCAGTCTGGGTCAACCTTGATATGCCAGGGACAGTTGCCCCTGCAGGCACTGGGGACCATTCCCTGTGGCATCCCCCTTGCTCTGCACACAAACACAGCCTTCAGTAAAGTTTCTAACCCTCTTCTGTGCACATTTCAGCACACTGCAAAAAAAAAGAGTGCTCTTCCCAGCAGCTGCAACAAGAGTGCCCAACCAAACCTAACCAAGAGTCAGCTTAGGGCAAAGCTCCAAGCTGGTCAAGCACAGCTGACAGAGCTCCTTAGGAGCTGTGGAGGTTGCTAGAAGTCACAACCTCCTGCAGCAATCCTCTCCCAGCAGCAGCAAGGCACTCTGATGTTCCTTGAACTGTTCCCAAGAGTCCTCCAATGATTGCAGAATATGTTCCCAGAAGGTCTAGAAGGTCTCAAAGCAAAGGCCAGAAACTGCTCTGCAAACTGCTGCATTTGGCGACTGACTCTGTTAGCTGCACTGTCAAAAATTTAAAGGACAGCTCCTGGAAAAGATAGATTTCTCTGATGCCATTGATTTTCATGCAGAAATCCACATTGGTTTCAGAATCAAAGATACAATGACACCTGATATGATTAAATAAGTACACATAACATAAATACACAGCAGCCCCAATATCTAGCACATTTAAGGGAATTTTCAACATGATCACCTTAGACAAAAACTTAAGAAATGCAACAATAACACAGGAAGGGAAAAGTCTGGGTGTTAAACTAGTTATAACAAAATCAGGTGTCCAAAGTTCCTATTGTTTAGACAGTCTCTCCCTGCATTTTCTTTAGGGGTAATTCTGGCTCAAGGACCTCACCCCCCTGCCAGTAGTTCCTGCCTGGTCTAGCAGGATTGCTTCCATTCTGCCAGCACACTGGTGTCTGTGAGGCCAGCTTACACACCAAACCACTGAAATGGCCTGGGTTAAAATGAACTCTGTGGGATCGGGCTATTTTTAACCCAAATCATTTCATTGATCAAGTGTATAATTGTGTCAGCACAGCTGAGCTGCTCAAGGCACAAGCCCTAGCAGAGCAGGCTGGGGAGGAGGTGAACTTTGTTAGTGAAGAGAGCTTACCTTTAAACTACTACCTTTATTTATTCTTGTTTTATAAGAAAACTCCCAGTCATGTTTTACCAGTTAAAGACCCACACTGATCTGACTGCAGAGCCCTGTGGGCCAAATGCAGAGTGAAGGAGGAAGTGTAGCTGGAAACACTAAGGTGTCCCTTTCTCATGCTGCCCCTGTAGGGTTTTCCATGTTCACACATCCTGTGAGAGCTGAGCATCTTTTCATGGTGTTTGCCATATCTACCTTGGGTAAAGAGTGATTATTATATGATCACATTAATTATACTCACTGCTGACAAAGCATTTGGTGCTCTGTATATATATAAAGCAACAAAGTCCATTCCCTACTCTATTTTTCATTTTGCACCAATTATTTCTGACAAGGAGGTATGAGAAGCATTCCCATGGAAGAAGGCTGATCTCCAAGGACTGCAGGAGTGTAACTAAGGAAAAATGAGCCATTGATGTCTAATCATTCAAATTAAGCAGTAGAGTTTAAAGCAGTTTAATTCAACATCTTAATTAAGGAATCTGCTTGGAAAATAATATAAACTGAAAATGAGGCAGTAAAATGGCACCTAGTCATACCATTGAACAAAAAGGAAGAAAGATTAACAGAGAAGTTACACTAACAAATGCCCCAAGGCAACTACTTTAAAATCCTGCACCCTTACAAATAATTCATTTCTGAGCACAAAAAATTATGTCTTAAAGTCAGGGCTCCTTTCAGGCCCAGTCTGACAAATGTCAGCAGCTCTTATGTTTATTCCAAATCACTCTTACATTTCTGCAAGGGATTGTTCAAGTTCTCTGATTAGGATTGAGGCTGGAAGCTAAACTGGTTTTCAAGTAGATACTTTCATGAGGCATGTAACGTAACCCCACATAAAGCATGGTATGTGCAAGCCAGTTTGTTGTATGTGCCCAGTTGTTGCATGACAGGCATTACAGAGAGCTTCCTGATCAATTTAGGAATCAAGGACATGGAGGATGAGAGAAAGAGAGCCAAACTACCCTTCCTTTGCTAAACCGAGGGAGAATGCATTCAGTCAAGCTCCCCTGATAAGCAGAGACACAGGGCACCATCAGCACCATGTACCTCACTCATATGATCCTAGGATTGTGGAAGATAAGGATGTGACAGATGTTCAAGCCAGCCTGTACCAGTGCAAACCCCCAGGACTCTGGTTCCTACTGTTGTATGATAATGCTTCTAATATTCTCCATTTCAGAGCTTTCCATACTGAAACACAGTGCTTTGCGCCCACTCTTTC